CTGGCCGTACTTTTTTGTAAGGATGGACAGGAGATAGCACCCTATCAGCTCACACGTTTCTGCTCCGTCGAATGATCCCATGGTTACATCAAATTTGTCGTTTGAATTTTTCTTCTCCCATGGTTTGCCATCCCAAAATAATAGCGACTGTTTTGTATGTAGGATGATGTCGCGTTATTTTGTATGTAGGATGATGTCGCGCAATTCATTAACAACTGTCTAATGAAAGCGTCACTTGCATGTTCAGTAATATTACCTACAAAAACTGTTACTATTGGCTTGTCACTGTTTGGAGGTCTGTAGTTCTGTTGATAATTTCTTTTGTCATAATAATCATTGTGCTTCTTGGCAAAATGTGGACGGTGAGTCTGCGTCGCAGGTTAGGTGTAGTCGTACTCGTAAACAAATCAACTGTTTTCTAATCAGTTGGGCAGACCAGGTATATACTCTGAAAGAGATCTAGACAGATGTGGAGATCGACATTCAACTACCTGAAACTATCAACCTCGTTCCCAGGCTCTTACCTCTAGTGGAGGAAAGACCCTGGTAAGAGCTGGTCACGTGATCTGCTAAAATCTAGATGTCGACATATATTTGATATTTATACTTTAGTTTATATTTATTTATACTTTAGAAATCTGCTCACATTTTAGCTCTTGACCTTGTTTCCCGAGCTCTTGTGCCTTCGCAGGATGATGATCGCGGAGATGCCGTTGAAGGTTGGAAGTATTTCCTCCAGCAGCAGAAACCTTTTTGAGGCAAAGCTTGCACATCGGCTTGGCGTTGTCGTCTTCATCGGTTTTAAACCCGAAATATTGCCAAATTGGGGATGCAAACGACTTTTTTGGACGTAAATCCGCAGCGCTAACATATTTGGTGTAGCCATGTTTGCACTGATAATTGGCGAAATAAAGACTTTATTGTCTTTACGGCTTTAGGCTGCGTCTGCAAATGAATTTGACACCGCGCGCGTAGGTAAAATATGTCATCACGACAGTCAATGTATGTCAACATTGCTTAACAATTACTGTCGATGCAATGGAAGTGTTGATAAAATATTGCACCAATTCCTTTCCTCAAGTTGATCAATTCATTTGATAGAAAATTGATCAACTTCCTGTTACTTTTAGATGAGCCAATTAGATTTCGTTTCAGAAC